TTTTTAAAAAGGGAGAAGTCAATAGACGTCATTTTTATAAGGGTGAAGTCAAGTAAACGTCAATTTTATAATTGAGAAGTCAAATAAATGTCATTTGATAGAGAGAAGACGTATAAACGTCATTTTCATAAAGAAGAAGTCATATAAACGTCATTTTTAAAAAGGGAGAAGTCAATTGACGTCATTTTTATAAGGGTGAAGTCAAATAAACGACATTTTTATAAGGAAGAAGTCAAATAGATGTCATTTTTATTAGAGAGAAGTGATAAAACATGATTTTTATCAGGGAGAAATCTAATAAACTTCATTTTTATACCCAAGATGTAAAAACAAACGTTAGTTTAAGTAGTGAGAAGTAAAATAAACGTTATTTTAATTAGTGAGATGTCAAAGAAACTATTTTAATTAGTGAGATGTAAAAGAAACGTTATTTTAATTATTGAGCATTGTTATGTAGGACACTTTTCCCATGCCATGAACTTTGCTTGACCCCAAATTGGATTCCTAGCAGACCCTACGTTCATAGATGGGCGGGGCTAGTTCTTTTGATCGGTCGTGTTTACTGCCGACTACCAATTAAACATGGTTAGTTTGTCTCCTAGTATCTCGTGGAACGTTCTCAATTTGACGAGAAACGTAAACAATGTCACAGGCGTTTCTGGACGCGTCGGTAGACCCACTATATAAATAAGGCGTTTCAGACATTCACGGAGATTCAGATTGATTGATAGATATTTTTAACTTCGAGACGTGTATGATTCTTGGTGTACTCATATGTGTTTATTCGCATTCGTCATTGCACATTATTAATTGGCACACTGAACTAACTGTGTACCGATAAAAGATTTACCATACTCTGTAAGTTGATGATTTGTAATGATATTTTTTTCGTTTTGTAATTATATTAATGCTTCAATAAATCTTATTGATTGCAATTAGCAACTGTTTTGAGTTTCGTATTTTTGCTATTGTATTTCTCTATGGTATCTTCCTTTTGTTGTGCACTGTTTGAAAGAGCCATAACTTAAAACACGAGATTAATTTCTCACCATAGAAGCCAGTACGTAAAAACATACTCTCTTTTTACATTTGAAGGGCAATGAAATTAGGGAAAAGTGGGAGGGGGATACATTTTGATTAATTTTTAACATACATGGAGAACACCTTTAAAAGTAATACAGATGCTTGGTAAAAGATCTTACTCCTGGTCTCCAATTTTAGGGAGAGTTAAACGAGTGGTATAACCTGTGACAAGCGTGGCCAGTCCACCATTGGAAAGTTAAGTTCGAGTTTGGAGCAAGCGTTGTTGGGGCAAGTCACTAATGGTCAGATGATATCCCCCAGGTCGGGATGTCAAGGTCAAATAGAGTGACGAAAACTGTCAGCATCTCGTGGCTGTCCGCACAAATGAGAATAGTTCAACCACTTCCAAGGTTCCCGCAGAACTCGCTCACCATACGGAACTCGGGGTCGATTTTTTACAAGGAAAGCCCAGCGGCTATAGTAATTGATGATGTTTACAATATGGAGCCGTTTACATGAACTACTCCTGGCTGTGGACGCCATAACCCGGAATAAAAACGGTGGCGTGTAGAAAGAGTTTGTCACATCCAAATGTACCAGTTTTTTTTTTCCCCAGGGAAATCTGAGATGCTGTCAACTATCAAAAACGCCGAGCTCTGAAAATTACCTTCGTTTTCAATAAGTTGAGGTGGCTCATTTCGAAAGGTGCGATCGTTTCATTGTATTTTTTTAAATACGAGAGACCAGTGGGCAACGTCTCTACACATTAAACCAGAGTGTTAGCTGTCTCTAATATATTTGTTGTGCAGACTATCCGATATGATTTAGGTTATCTCCCTTAGATTGAACTCATTTGAATTGCATCGGCTATAAGAGATTCAAGTTACAAATATTATATGACTTGACATACAAATTTGTAAGGCTTGTTGCCGTTTCTGTATCTTGCTTTAAAATTCTTTATGCTGAATAATTTTGTAAATTTTATTTTTAAAAATAATTTTATTTATTATAAAAACATTAAGGAGAAAAATCAACCAAAGAAGCTTGAGAAACATTTTAATTGTAATGAAAAGGAACAACAGTGTTAGAAGTCTGAATTTATTTCTCTAGAAAGCAATATCAAATTATGATAAAACTAATATTTCCACACACCGTTAATGCTCCATTCACAGCACTTTTTTTTTTTTTAAATTGTATTTTTAATTTTTAAAAAAATAGCTTGATCGTATCTCTTCTTTTATTTTAAATGCACATATGTAAAATAAAATAAAATTCTTTTCATTCGACTGAATCAGTTGTCTTTAATGTGATGCCTCGGGTCCATATCACAGATCTGAGAATTAAATTTGACGCCATTTTTTCTAAAATTGTTTAACGTGTCATCCACATTAAATATATGTCGTACTATTTGAGGAGGTTATTATTTTGGCGAATCGGCTTAGAGGAGTGAATTGCCATAGGAGGGAAGTTGGTGGGGGGGGGGGGGTATGATGTCCTTATACAAAAATTCTGAAAAACTTTTCCTGAAATCCTGAAAGTCTCTAATATCCATAATGAAGCTAATAATTATCTTTTTCTATCTATTTAGGGCCCATTAGCTTTAATTATTTTCAACAAAAAAAAGCCTTAAAATAAAAACTGGTTATTATTTGGGGGAATCGGGTTAGAGGGGTGAATTGCCATGGGGGGGAAGTTGGTGGGGGGGGGTATGATGTCCTTATACAAAAATTCTGAAAAACTTTTCCTGAAATCCTGAAAGTCTCTAATATCCATAATGAAGCTAATAATTATCTTCTTCTATCTATTTAGGGCCCATTAGCTTTAATTATTTTCAACAAAAAAAAGCCTTAAAATAATAACCCCTATATTTCGTAATTTCCTAATGGTATTCAACATGTCGTATGCTGTCACTAGTAAATAGGACGAAATAAAATATTGAACCAAAAAACTCATTCAATGCTTGGAATTAAACTATTTTGTTGTTGTTTTTAAATGAAAAAGACATAATTGACAAATCGTTTCTTTAGCTATTCAACCCTAATCATAATATGGCTCATTCTTAACATTTTTTCTGTTGCTCTTAAAATGAGTGTAGATTGATGCAAAACTAAATTCAGATATGCGCCAAATTGAATCCTTGTATTTTGAATACGTGAGCCCTCCCCGGTACCCTGATTCCAGTTTGGCTTGGAGACTTTCATGGCCTTGAATTCCTTCTCCTACCTCCCTACCCCCCCCCCCAACCGTTCCGGGGTGATTTTGCCCCTATTAATTTTGTAATGAGGGTCAGTAAAGACGCTTTAAAAAATATGAAACGAAAAGATATTTCTTTTATAAGTCATCATATTAAACAAAATTTACTGATATGACAATACGGTCCTGCGTTTGGCAAAATATTCAGACGGCTAATTGACCCACTTCCCATCAACCTTTTGGGCTGAAACGTGGCGCATATACTTTATTGCTAATGCTAACACATTCTATCAACGTTTTAGCCCCAATTTCCAACCCCAACCCTCAGATATCAGTTTTTCCTGTTTTTCACAGGGAAGATAAAATAAAATCCCGCTAACTGCGCTAAAGAGATTATTTCTTTAAAAAAATATCGCAAGTGCGTTTGGTGCGTAATATTTTCTTTTATCTTTTCCAAAATATCAGATGAAATTAATCTGTTGTGTAAAAGATAATTACAATACTAATTAATTATTTCAGGGGCGCTAAACAGCTTAACCCTTGGGGGTGGGGAGATCTCTGATTGCGATTTTTATAAATTGCGTTACTTGGTTGCATGTTTTGTTCCAATGTGTGTTTTGTTCCAATTATCAGCCCCCCCCCCAACCCCTTTCTTCAGTTGCTCCATATTTCATTTGATACGGGATTTATAAAAACTCCTTGTTTCAAGAAATTAGAATATTGATCTTGCGCATCTATTCAACACAAATGTACACTCTATTTCGTCTGAAAAGTGGAGAGTTGGTGGCGGCCAGCCTGTCAGAGGCGTAACGGGGGTGTTTGGCGCACAAGATTCGCGCCCGGGGACAGGATCCATTTTAAAGCGCCCCCTTTTTCTTCCTTTCAACTCTCAAACTCATTAATTTCATCAATAATATATTATCAAAGCACATTTTTGCGCCCCTAACTAGCTGGCGCCCGGGGACATCTGCCCCCCCTGCTCCACTCCCTCGCTACGCCTATGGCCAGCCTCTTCAGACACGGATGCAGGTTTTATGGCGGATAAAAACTCTTAAATTTGTTGTTTTTTGTGTCTCGTTTCTTTGTACATATGTTCCTAAGAGATTAAGTGGCTCTTGAGATTAAAATGCTTTAAGAACGTCTTCATTTCAAATGAACTCGCCTTCTCATAATTTTACTTCCGTATAAGAGCAGCAGTTGGCCAGATGAGCTGAGCAGTTTTTATGTAAGCCAATGTATATTATTTAAATGACATAGAAATGCAAAGACATAGAATTTTTTTTTTAAATGTACTTTTTCATAAGAATTTATTATTACTTTCTGTCACATAAAATATGGCCTGGGGAGATAAAGATAGAATGGTTGCAAAATGCTCAGATTGTTTGCTTTTTTTTTTTTTAAAGTAAAAAAAAAAAAAAAAAAACAAGAATGAAGATATTGAATTTGTGTGTATAGTCTAGTCATAATAATAAAAAATGATTGAAAAGGAGTAGGGTTAAGCCTGAAAAAAAAAACGCAACAAAACAACGAACGTGTCGGCAAGAAGCCTTGCCCAGGTTTAACCCTACTCTGTTTTACCCATTTTATATTGCGCTAACCTGATTGCAGTCTCTCCTCTTATTACCTTTAGTCGTAATAAGCTTATATTTAATAAATTGCTAATTCTAGTTCATTGGATGTTGTTGGTGGTTTTTTTTTTTTTACATGCAACAAAAGTCGCAACGAAAAAGAAAAGTTTAATAATTTTTAGAAACGTTCAACGTATTATTTTACGTCCTGAGATGAAATGGATTCAAGTGAAAATGTATCCAGTTCCTTGAACACTGATGATGACTACAACTTTTCTGTAAGCAGTTATCTAGACATCTCCAGCACAAGGTAGGCCTACATTATTTTGTTGATTAAAAAAGAGACTTGCCTTAATGAAACAAGAACAGCAGTTTAAATGTGTAATAATGTTCATAAATTTTATAATTTCTGAAAATAAAACTTGCTACATGATAACAAAAAAAAAAACACAAAACAAATCCCATATTTTAGGTAGCGTTTTATATTCAATCGTGTGTAAATGTGCAAAGAAAGATTCTGCTATTCTAGATGTTCAATTTTCATTTTATCCAATTCTCCATAGATATGTCACCGACTAGCGTCACACAAAAAATATTTTAGCTAATAAAATATTAATTAATTTTTGTATTTACAATTTAGGTAAAAGATATTTGGAATGAAGACCAAAGCCTTTTCATCAAAACACCCTCCACTCAACCCCTAAAGAAAATCTTAAATGTAACATAAAAAAAGTATCTTTAATAAAAAATCTGCATACACGTTTGACTCGTTTAATAATAATGATAACGTCACTTTGGAGATGGTGTCTGTGGGTCGTCGAGTTTGCACTCATAATACCCCCCCGGGCACTCCCCCACACGGGCCAGAGCCGGACCTCCAGACCGTGCGGAAGCGCGCCAGGAACCTCACTCCTGGCCTGAGGGACGTCCGGTCGACCGAAGACGCTGCGTTTAAAGCGTCCGTAGTCCACTCTCACTATGCTTTACTTCCTCTCCGGGGAGGTGGTGTTGCGTTACCACTCCCCACCGCCCTGGGAGATGTCTGGTCGGGACGTAGCGGGCACAAAACGGTCACCTAGGGGCGGCTTTCTCAGGGCCGCGTCTTTTTAATCATTGGCAAGGGTTTTGGCTGCCACCCATTGCCTCATACCCATCAACGGCAACAAGTAATCATGTTAGTGCGAGCCTTCCGTTGCGTTGGAAGTCATGCAAGTGGGTCGGGATTTTTTAGCTTCGGAAGGGGGGGGGGGAGGTTTCCCCCCTACTAGTCGTCCACGCCGCGCAGAGGCAAAATCCCATGTGACTCCACCGAGTAGTGGTGTTGCTCCCTGGTCTAGAAGCGTTCGGCCACGGAAGCAAACGATTTAATAATCGAAGATCACATTTGCTAGTTTGATGAAGACTTTCCGAGGAAGATCATATTTCTCTTCTCCAGATCCTCTCCGCGAGACTGCGCGTTATTGGCACTTCATTACCCAGTACGTTCCGTGTTCCTGTCAGAATCCCGTTTTTATGGTGGAATCCTGTTCTATGTGGGACCCCGTTCCCCAAAAGGATTCCGTTCAAATGTGTCTTCACATTTCCCCATGGATCCCGATCTCTCGTGGGATCCAATTCCCCGTTGGCATCTCGTTCCCCGGTGGGGTCCCATTTCTCTGTAGCATCTTTTCTCATGAGGTACACTTAAATTTCTCCCGTAGATAGATGGTCAACTTTGACCAAGATGCACCACTAAACGTAAAAGCTTATACTGTAATCTTAGCCTTCGACTAAACTTATGTTCATTGATTAGGCCATATATAATCGAATATTCAATTTAGACCGTTCTAGAAACTTTCAAAAACATCTTTAATTCTTATTCAATAATATTCGAAGAAACTCATTTAAAGTGATACAAACATAAGAAACTTAATTAGGACAATTATGTTATTGTAAAGCTGTTTTAGATAAAAAACGAAGCTTTCAGAATAATTTTAAAACTTAAGAAGCATAGACAAAGATAACTGAGCGATACTGATACTATCCCCAGGAAGGTATAGAAATCTATAGAACTAAAATGACGTTTCCATAATTTTTTGATCCCACTATATATCCTCACGGAACATAAGAGTACTTTCGGAAAAATTCTAGATTTAATTTAATACCTCATTGAAACATGTTCCAAAAGACCGTTTTTAGGTGATTATTTATTCTAAAACGCAAATATCTACAACTAAATGCTCTGACCATGACTATTTTTCATTTAAGTTAAAAGATTGGCCACGGTGAGGTATGCAATTTTCATAAGGTGCCGTTTTCGTTATGCCTAATATGGGGGATCTCAAAATAATCATTCTTAATTTATAAAAGAGTTGAAATTGAAAAGTTGTTCAATTAAAATCGGTTGAAATCTAAAATGTTAAATTATAGAACTTTTATGGAATACTATACATTAGTAACGTTGTAATTCACCGATATTTCATCATGAATTTTTCATTTTTTAATGGTGTGACTACCAAGTTTTGCCTAGATTGATCAATTCCCTTTGAACCATATATTATCACCTAAGCCTATTACTATTTATATAGCTAATATTAGGAAAAATAAAATTGGGTTCCTCAGCACCGAATGAGTGGATAATATGAGTTTAGAATCCACCAGTATTTCAATATGCATTATCAACTGTACGTGAACTAAAATTGGTCTAGATACATCCATTCGGGCAGGTAGGCCTATATGTATTGGTAATTGTATTTATATTGCTCATATAAGAAAGAAAATAAAATGTGTAAAATCCCCCTCCCCCCCCCCCCTTTTTCTTTTTTGCATTTACTTCTCGACAATATTGAATATGTCTGCCAAATTTGGTCAAGATCCATCAATCTATGTTACAAAACGTCTTGGAACAACCAAACAAATCCACAAACAAACCCACAGCATTTCAATTGCATAATATATATAATATTATAATATGCCTGTATAATTATAACTATAACTATAACTGAGTCTTCTTTATTCCCCAATTCTTTCTATTTTTCTGGTTCTGGAGACATCTATCCAAACATAAATATTTTTTTTCAAGCATTCCCATTCATTCCCTGAAATATTTCTTTCACCAAAGCATTGCAAGATTATAATTTGCATTGTGCACAAGACTCCTTTGTTGCCTGAGTTCGCTCAGTAATTTCTTTCAACTTTTATTTTGATTTGGCGTGTGTAATTCTTATTTGAAATCAGCTGTTGCAGATATCGCATCTTTTGATAACTCAACGAGTCAACCTAAATCAATTCCCAAATGATATTTTTGAATACTGAGAATATTAGAATAGTATTACCAATTTTTTTGTTAAACCTTTAGGTTTAGTTGTCAAAAATGACGCATCGAATGTTTAACCGTGTAAACACAGACTTGTCGAGTTTGGTGTTTACCGAAATTGAGATCATTTATTTTTGACGCCGAGTGGGATTTTTTTTTTTTTTGAGTGTAAATTATTAAATAGCCAAACGATCCGCTCTTGACGAATGTGATGAATTTAAAAAAAAAAAAAATTTTTTTAATCATAACACTTAAAATAAATAATGTATTTAGCCAATATTATTATTTTGTTGTTGTTGTATATATCGATTAGTAGTGTATGAAAATTGGTTTGAGATTTCGATAGCACTAGCTGAAGTGAAGAAGTGAAACTATTTAAATCTCTTATGATATCTTCCAGTTTTATGTATATGATAGTTATAGCCAATGTTCCCTTTAAGCTGCGCGGCCGCGTAGCTATCTCACAGACACCGAGCAGCAGTTTTTAGTATCCGCGCAGCAAATTTCCATGTAAGTGTTTGTTTGTGTTTGTGGGATATTTAATTTTGAAAACAAGAAAGAAAATGATGCTGTAAAACTTTGCACACAACTGTATTATTTCGCACACGAAAAAACAAAACTTAGAGGGAACATTGGGTAGCCCGCCAAAAAAAATAAATGGCGTCTGCCATGCGTGAACTTCCCATCTACTAAAATTACTTGACAAAATATGCATCCAAATAACGCACTTTATAAGAATCCACATCATTAGTTTTAAAACACTTTTTAAAATCATTTTCTTTAAAAAAATCTTTGCAGCTATGACGATACCAACGTCGAGGACTTTAACCTATGGAGTGAAAGGCTGTTAAAAAACTACATGTTTGTGTTTTGTGGATTTGGATTACCTGCAAATATCCTGATCATTGCAACCATATCAAAATTTCATTCCCGCTGCCCTGCTTCATTTTTGCTGTGCTACCTGGCCTTAATTGACAGTGTTGCTCTTGTGGCAAAACTTTTAGAAACACAAATAATTTTCTATCACGTATATCTTGGCCGATTCGGTTGTAAGATAAATTCCATGCCAAGCGTCACACTCACATCAGTCTCCAACTGGACGGTTGTTTTAATAAGCTCAGAACGTTACATTGCCATCTGTAAGCCGCTGAAGAAAAGAATCTGGTGTACTAACAAACGATGCAAAATAGCCGTGTCTTTGATGTCGGGAATACTTACAGTAACCTTTGTAATTGTTTTTTTTATTTTTGTGGATATAAACTCTTATGGGTTTTGTTCTGTTATTCATGTAACATTGAACTCATTTCACTGGCTCCAATTTATACTTTCCATAGCGATTCCTTTCATTCTCGTAACTATTTTAACCAATGGAGTAATTAGAGCACTTTATTATGCCCGATGTCAACGTCGGAAATTTTTCATCGATAAGAGAAGCCAAAAGAGACATTATTTAGCTGAACAACAAAATCAAACAGCTGTGAGCAGCTCAGAGAGGATGGAAAAACTGAGTTTACTCATGATGTCAACGGTTTTGTTGTATTTTGTTGTATATTTGCCAGTATGTGTTACCTTTTTAGTAATTAGGCCATTATATAAAAACAATTTCGACTCCCTTGTAGAACTTATTACTAACATTTTCTATGTTCTTAGTGACTCATCTCATGTCCTTAATTTTTTCCTCTACTTTGTTTTTGTTTCGGGATTTAGAAGAAATGTTTATAAATTATTAAGATCTGTTTGTTGAAAAGCATACAATTATTGACCACGAAAAGCAAGTCAAATTAGTATAATGTTTGTATACAAATATATTTATTTGGTCACTCATGTTATAGATTCCATGTTTTTGCGAACCTGATTTCAATCTCTCCCCTTAATACTAGGTTATAGATTGCATGTTATTTATTATGAAGGTTGTTTTTTTTTTTTTAAATGTTCATTTAAATAGCACGAAGTTATTTAATAAATTAATCCATTCCACTTATAAGTCATTTATTACATACTGCATTTCTCAAAACTGTGTTTGTGATATTTCTACGAAATACAAAATATTTTACACTTATGAAAACATTTCTACCATTACGAATTTTAACAACAAAGCGTCGAATCTAATTAAAATTTTCATTACTTCGTTTTATGATTTTGTTTTCATTAAATGTTTTAGTCTTGATTCAGAGGTCAAATAGAAGACATTTTTATAAGGGAGATGTCAAATAAATATGCTTGATGGCTGAGCGGTCTAAACTGACTCAATTCAAATAGCTGGTGGCCTGCATTTCAGTCCCCACCGAAGCACACCGAAGCCAACCTCCCAAGCACCCCGGGCGGATGGGACTAGTAGGCGTTTAACGGCAAATAATCTAAGAGAAGCCAAACTCTGAATTCAAACAAGGCGCCAAAATGATAAATGATTTGATTGTGAGCCCTGAAATAAGTAAAAGAAAAAAAAAATAAATAAACGTCATTTATGAGAATAAGTCAAATAAACGTATTTCTTAAGGGATTAGTCAAATGAACATCCTCTTTATAAGAAAGAATAACCCATAAACACCATTTTTATAAGAGATAAATTAAATAAATAAACGTTATATTTAAAAGGAAGAATCAAATAAACGTCACTTTTATAAGGGATAGTTGGGCGGATGTGCAAATGTTTTAATGTTATTATTTCATTTCATTTCCTAATTGCTTTCTTTTTTATTGTTTCATTCTTCGCATCAATCTGGTATTATAAATACTGAAAGTGTATTATTAACTTTCACAATACGAGTGTAAGTTGCTTTTAGAAGCTATTTGAAACCATGGAATACACAAAAAAATAGACTTGCTTCTCTAAGTGCTAACCCCAAAGTCATTATGCACAACTATTTGGATATTTAATTTCAATGAAATCAATTTACATTTGCTGGGAGATGGTGTCAGTCTTATCAAAACATGAGCATTAAACTCTACTTTTGTATCTAAATTAATTCTGGTCAATAACGATGTTTGCCAATATCCAAGATGGGATGAAATAGGTTTTTGGATTCTGACTAGGTTTAGTACCAGTGATGTAAGCCAATACTTCCGCCCTCCTACTTTTCAAAAATCCCCTTCGATCTCACTAAATCTGTCCCATTGAGTCTGTCCCACCAGTCTGTCCCGCCCAGCCTGCCCAACAGAGTCTGCCTGCACTGGTGAAAAACGTTCCTGTTTGCAACCTGATCTAATGCTACCTCCTCTTTGCCAATATACTCTGATGGCACACTGCTTTGTCTTGTGGCACCCTGTTCTTGGGGAAACCTGTTATGGGGACAAACTGCCCTGGCAATACTGCTGTGTCTCGTGACACCTTGTTCTGATGCAAACCTACTGTGGTGACACCTTGTTCTGATGCAAACCTACTGTGGTGACACCCAACTCTAGCAAAAACCTACTGTGTGGTTAAACCTCTTTCTTGTGGCAACCTGATCTTTTGATGCCCTGATCTTGTGATGCCCTGATCTGGTGTTGCTCTTATATTGTGATGTCCTGATCTTGTGATGCCCTTATTTTATAATGTCATGATCTGGTGATGCCCTGATATTGTGATGCCCCTATCTGATGATGCCCAGACATTGTAATGCCCTGATCTGAAGGTGCCCTGATCTAGCGCTGCCCTACTCTGGTGATGCCCTGATCTTGTGCCATCCTGCTGTAGTAACTAACTGATTTCTATTTTGACACGGACTTAAGCGAATATTCTCGAATAGATTGTTATTTTCCATTTGGTGTCCCCCCCCCCACACACTTTTAGGGTGTGATCCCATGCATTCCATACCCCTAGTGACGCTACTGCCTGATTTAAATATCGTGTTACCTTTCAAATATGTTACATAACGTTTATTGTCTGATCGATTTTAGGATCTTCTTTTGTTACAATATTAGATTGGGTATTAAGTCATGTATCGTTGCGGATGCAGTTGGTTATTTTAATGAATGTCTATATTAGTGACCGACCGAAAGTGATTTTCTGATTGCGGCCGAACCGAAACTAGGCCGAAAGTTAAAAATGAATTTTGGCTGAAACCGAAGCCAAAACCAAAAGCTTAACAAGACTTTGGACCGAAACCGAAATATTTTTATATTTTGAAATTCGGTCACGCATACATTCTGCATACATCGAAAAATTACGAGGGGAGTATAAATATAAACATTCTTTTTTATAAAAAATGGAGATCATCTAGAACAGTGAATCTCAACCTTTGTAATGCCGCGACCCTTTAACACAGTTCCTCATGTAGTGGCGACCCCTAACCACAAATTTTTTTATCGTTGCTGCAGCATGCTTCATAACTGTTTGGTATGTGTTTTCCGATGGTCTTATGCGACCCCTCTGAAAGGGTCATTCGACCCCCAAAGGGGTCGTGACCCACAGGTTGAGAACCACTGATCTAGAAAATCAATTAATAAACATGTAATATATATACTTTGGCTTTAAACATTTTAATTGAAAAGTAATTCAAATTTATTCAAAGAGTTTTTTTTTAAAAAGTATTATTATGGTAAGAGGGACAGGGAGGGGGCACAATTCGTGCAGAAAAGACCCTTTAGGGCCCTTTGCTTTTATAATATTGGTACAACCTATAACACACATCTACAATAATTATTGTAATACCTATAGATCCTATATCACCTAAATAACAGTATGATTACTAAGACTATAAAAATATCACAAGAATGTTTCGCGGTTAACGTCATACCAATGCCTTATGTTTTCATAAATAGTTTGCAAGATATCCTTGTATTAATATTTAGCCTAGTACCAACACATTGGTCTTCCTGTGCTGGAAACGTAATTATTTAGTTCGGCGACCAACCTCCCTCAACTCCATTGGTGGCGGAACAAATTTTTTAACCGGGTCTCTTAAAATTGTGGTTTTGACGGGTCTCGAGACAGAATCGCAAAAGACATCTAAACTGGTCGCCAAGATCATAAAAGTAAACAGGTATGCAGTGCACCTACTACATAATTATTATACGAACCCGTGCTATACATGCACAGGCGTGTTCTGTCGTCAACAACAATGTTAAGAGCATGATAATGAGGAATTTCAAGAAACGAATTAATTAAAAAAGACTTAGTTGCCTTTATTTGTTTTAAATATATATATACATTAATATATATTAATACAACAAAAATAATATAGGGATATCACCATTCCGTAGGATTATTCAACATTATTGACTTTTGCCTATGAAAACATTCATGAGCATGATATTGATAACTCACAATGAATGTCATCAATAAATGAAAAAGTCCCTTAAAACTTATCTGTTTAGGTCCGCCTATGACCTGTGATGCACCCTCCTTGCCAAGCCTCATTTTCTCTTTCGGGTTGATCCTGTAGTTTAGGCCAAAACGTGTCAAAGTGTCCTCGTTTTATAGCCATTTTCATTGTTTCTATAGTGTAGTAGTTACTATCCTAGTGTCTCATTTTTATTTTACTTAGTTTACATGTTTTTAATAATTGTAAAGCGCTTAGAGCTTTATGGTAAGCGCTATATAAAAATGCCTAAATAAATACATAAATAAATTGAATAAACCTTTGGTTCCAAATATTATTTTTGAAAAAAAATACAACAAAAACAAATATAAATATGTCCATTCCATTAGTTTTTCTTCCCCCAAACTATTTACATTTGTCTGGGTCTAATTGAATTAAAAAAAAAAAATTAAATACAAGTAGGTCATCAAGCAGCTGTGAGCAGTTTTTGCTGCAGAGTATTAGTCATATGACATACGTTTACAGCAAGACGTCAAGAAATAAGGAATATCGGATTGCCAGCCTAGAGACAGACAGTCTGACTTCTGTTATGTTGACCGAAAACCTCAGAAACTTTCAGCCGAAAGTCTCAATCGAAAGTAAACCGAAAGTTAATTTCCTGTTTCGGCCGAAACTGAAATTAAACTGAAATTTAAAATTTCATTTTCGGCCGAAACTAGGCCGAAAGTGATCAAATGGCAACTTTCGATGCCAAGGCCGAAGCCGAATTTCGGTCGGTTTCTAATCTATATCAAGGTTTAAACCAAAGTTTAGTCAATTGTAATTAGAGTTTCGGAATCAGAAGAAAATTTCAATTCATTATTATGCAATGTGGAAAGTGGTCAAGAAGCCCAAGAGGGGCAAAGAAATATAATCCATATTCAGAAAGTATTGCTAGCTTTGTTACGTTATCTTAAACCAGGCGTTTAAAAAATTGCTTCACATGACCAAGTCCGTCGAAAACATACAGTAAAGAAGTAAGAGCTGTGTGGAGAGGGGGGATCTGCTGCATTGGGCAACAGCTGGTCTCCATAAAACACCACCCAGGCGAAGTAGCAGCACTGGTGACGTCACTTCACAAGGAGCAGAGTTTTTCGCAAGGCATCATGGAAAGTAAATAGAAGGAAGACTCAACTGCTTCGCCTCGCAACATGGAATGTAAGAACCACGTGTCCTGGATTTGACACCGATCTTTCAACAGATTGGCGACGCAAGGAAGACTTTCCGTTGTTGATCAGAAACTCGCCAGACTAAACACTGACACTGTCTGCCTTCAAGAGAGCCGACTAGAAGATAGTAGCACCGTTAAGAAAGCCAGCTACACATTCAACTTGCAAGGGAAAGCCGTACATGAACCAAGGCGGCATGATGTTGGATTTGCCATAAAAACCAATTATTGTCCTGTAATGAACCTCCATCATTGGGATCGGAGAAGATTCGGCGACGGCGGATGTCATCACCTGCAGGCAAGGTCAACATATTCAGCGAGTATGCTCCATTCGACTCCAGGAGAGAAAGATCTGTTACGTTGCTTTAAACCAGACATTTAAGAAATGACATCACTTCCGTGGAAAGCATACAATAAGCTTATTTGAGCAATATTGAAGTTACTATTACTAAAACACGAATCAT